AGCGCCTTGTATCTGCCAGACGTCCATTCAACAGCCATAAAGGCATAATGAAGAGATTCCAGTTGGTTGGTCGATATTGAGATTGTTGAAGGTGCAAAAATGTTCACCCTAATGACCGCGACAACCTGCATATACGAGGGCATCTGTACGTCAAAAATACCTGACTTTCAGCCACGTGGGGCTTTTTACCTGTGGTTTGGATGAATCATCGTTTTAGCGAATGCATTTGGTAACCTACTCAGGAGCAGTTTGTTTCCTCTACTAATTCATAATCTGCTTCTGCTGCTCCAGGACTTGGTGCAAAGTATATTCATGAGATATACTGCGTTTGAAGAAGCGATACGCCGCTTTCTAGCTGCACCACCTAGTTTTCTAGATTTGTTAACAGAAACACGAGTTGGAGAACTGAGTTGGAGGTCATTCAGTCGACGTGTATCAGCTCTGCAGACTCAGGATCGGATTTTTTGGTTATTCCATGGTAGCTAATGAAAGGAGGTACATTACGGCAGAGTTACAAAGCTTTCTACGACGGGTATCTCGAAGGTTCAGTAAAAAAAATTGTTTAATGTCTAAACAGGAATGAATCCCAATAACAAGACACAATAATATTATTAACAAGCATGTTACAGTTTTATATCTGCCTATATACAGACAATTCACATACATATATACAGACAATTCACATACATATATACATACATACACACACATATACATGAATACAATACTAATTTATCAACTAGAAACACCTGAAGTGAGTAAACAAAAAAAAGAATAAACATTTAGGAGAGTTAAGCAAAAAATTAGTTGGAAAACTTGTATGCAGCAAGCTGGGAGAGTAATTGAAAAAAAACATAAGTCAGATATAGAGCTAACAAGTAAAAACATAGTTCAAGTGTATTACAAAAAAAAACATAATTCTGCAGTAGTAATAAGCTCATATGGTAGAATAACTTTCAATTTGGGCTCATGTATTTTGACTAGAGTGTAAAAGTTTCTTAACGTGGTTCTTAACTTGACCAATAGGTTCATAATAAATGTCGAGATTTTCACAGAGTTGATTGTAAAGTTTGCTCATTGCAACAACTGGTGACTTGAGCAATATGTTTGTTCTAGAATTTGGTAGATAAACAGTCAGTTCATTTCTAGAATTGATTCGTGGAACATGAAAGTTGTAGTGGGAGAGTAGTTCGGGACAGTCAATCAGATTATTCACTAATTTATAAATGAAAATTATAGAGTAGTAGGTTCTTCGGGTTTGAAGGGATAATAGATTAAATTTATTCAGTAGTATTCTGTTGTCGATGCCTTGTTCAGGGTAAACTCCTTCTAGCTTGTAAGTAATATATTTCATGAAGCCTCTTTGTATAGACTCGATTTTGTTTATGTGGACATTGTATATGGGTGACCATATAAGGGAGGCATATTCCAGCCGAGATTTGACGTATGCATTTAAAAGAGTTAAAAAACTGTCTCTGCTACGAAAGTTCTTACAGTTACGATAAATGAGCCCTAGCATCCATTTGGCTGAGTATGTTATTGTGTAATAGTGAATGGTGAAACTCAGTTTAGGGTCAAATGTGACACCAAGATCCCTTTGATGAGTGCTTATTTGAAGAGGTGTGTTATTTATGCAGTAATCATGAGAAATAACATTATGTTTAAGGGTGTATTTTGAGTATTTACATTTGTTTGTATTGAGGGGAAGATTATTTTCGGTACACCAAGGTCTTTTTGTAAGATTAAGCAGTCCTCCAGTTAGTGACACCGATTTAGGAGAACTCTTAGCTTTACGGGTTACACTTCACTGGGTAAAGGTATTCTAACACCACCCTCTGCAGGGCAGGAGAGGTGACAGATTCAAGAGGTCACACATTCAACTGTTCCATTCACACGTGAAAACTCATTGATATGTAACAATATTCAACTAGACTCATCGCCATAATCCTTGGCTTTGTATTTCGACTGATTTGTCTAACAAATAACATTTTCTATGCGCTATTGACTATTTTTCTTTGTGGATTTGGGAATTTTGGGTTATTTCACTGGTAGATCTTCAGAAAAATTATTTCCATTGAAATTTGGACTTTGCACATACACTTGGAGCATTTCAAATATCTGAAAACGTATAAACATCGTGGAATATTGATTGGTATGAAATGACAAGAACTCAATTAGATGAATTGCATGGAAACATTAATTTGATAAAAAAATAAATATTTCAGGTTATATAGGGTCTTTCAGGGCTACTACTAGAGTGCCACCAAGATTTAGCCAAAGCCTCGGTAGATAATAACATTATCCTGAGGTGGATTAAAGGACACGACAGGAGTAAAGCAAATCGTATTACCGACTCTTTAGCCAAGAAAGCGGCTGGACTAAGAATTTTAGGACCCAGTGGCACCTACAGCTTGATGACTTCGACTATTGCCGAAGTAGCCAAATGTTACACCCATGCTCAATCCCTAAAGAGATGGGATGGAATCAAATATCACCCTGGGCGATCCTGGGAAGCTGGCGCCGAAGAAATATCTGGCGATGACCTGGAAAAATCTACGTTTAACAGTAGGATTTCTGACTGGCCACTGTCAACTAAGGATACACCTCCATAGTATGGGGCTAGTGGACACACCTCTATGCAGGGTGTGTGAACAAGAATATGAAACCGTCAGGCATATCCTATGCGAATGTCCGGAGTTATCGTCAATAAGAGAGTGTGTGTTCGGCGAGTCTTGGCCTACACCTGCCGATATAAAGGAGATGTCTCCCAGAGACCTATCCACCTTCCTAAAAAGGACAGGCTGGACGATGACCTCGGATGACAGTAGATGAACAAGGCCGGTTTCATTACACCGGAAATTCAACTAACAGACGAGGGATGGGGCAGACAGACGTGACGTCACGGCATGCGTTTTCGACCGTTTTGCGTGTGTTTATTCGTTATCGTTTCATCGTTATTGTCGTAACGTAACGCAAAACGGTCGAAAACGGTCGAAAACGCACGGAAAACGGTTGAAAACGCACGCAAAACGGTCGAAAACGCACGGGAACGGTCGAAAACGCACGGAAAACGGTTGAAAACGCACGCAAAACGGTCGAAAACGCACGGGAACGGTCGAAAACGCACGAAAAACGGTCGAAAACGCACGGGAACGGTCGAAAACGCACGAAAATCGGTTGAAAGCGCACGCAAAACGGCCGAAAACGCATGTCGTGACGTCACGTATGTCTGCACCATCCCTCGTCTGTTAGTTGAATTTTCGTTGTAATGAAACCGGTCTTGTTCATCTACTGAGGACAACTCCTTGGGAGGATGTACAATGGGTCACATGTGGCCTAAGTGGTGTTGGCCTACACTCACCCTCCCTACTCTACAGATAGGGTCTTTCATTAAGCGCTTTCTATCATTAAATTTGAATAAAACAAAGTATGTGTTAGATATCATCGAAATTTTATATTCGTTTGAAAGACCTATTGATGCCTTTATATGTGGAATATAACATCGTTAAAAAATCAGGCTGAATTTGACCGATGGCATGGGTTATGTTGGCTTTGAGGATCTCTGTGGTTTGTGGCTTATTCGCATACACCTGCGACTCAAGAAAACCACCCAAGGAAAAGTCTGACGGGATCAAATCGCACGATCTCGATGGCCAGTTTACATCATCTCCAGGTGAGGTGACCATGCCCTCAAATCGCTCGCGCAGAATATCCAATGTGGCATGAGATGTGTGGCACGTAGCTCAGTCATGTTGAAACCACACGTTGTTGGTATCCAGATCATGAAATTCAGGCCAAAAAAAATTGGTAATCATCGGCCTTTAGTGTTCGCCGTTGATAGTGATGACCTGGCCAACGTCATTCTCAAAGAAATATGGACCCATGACGCCACCAGCCCAAAATCCATACAAAACAATTACTTTTTCGGGATGCATTGGACGCTCTTGGATCTCATGTGGATTGGTATCGTCCCAAATTCGACAATTTTGTTTGTTCATGTACCCATTCATCCAGAAATAGGCCTCATCGCTGAAGCTGATTTTTTGATGAAAATTAGGGTCAGTTGCCAACTGCTCCAGAGCTCATTCAGCGAACACACGTCTTTGTCTACGGTCGTTTACCTTCAGTTCCTGGATCAGTTGAATTTTGCACGTTTTTCACATATAGTCAGTGGGCATACTTGAAGACTGGCTATGAATCGAATCATCTAAAGGAACAATTCGTTCAAGCCAGTCTCAACTCCCTGTAGGTCAATGGACTTACACCCATCAGAAAACAATGCCCTTGTTGGAAGGCTCTTCACCTACACTATGTTCTGGTAAATGCCTGCCGAAAAACAACTACTTCCCCTGCTAATACCGCGCTGAAGTTTTAATGGTACCTAAATTATGGCCGCCTAATATGGTCATATTATCCCCTAATATGGCCACCTAATATGGTCTAATTCACTAATCACAAGTTCTCTCAAAAGTTTTTGGTTTTCAGTAGTCTGAAAAAGTATTTTGCACTATGGAAAACTTTCTAGACAACAATACGAATCGAATGACACCTTGGTCGTAATTTTTGGATAGGGCTGAAAAATGTTACAAAAAAAAGTACATGTGAACTAGACTAAATCGGCTGGAAAGGTTATGGTCTCGGATGTGCGTTGTGTAATAGTCATCGACTATCTTGAGAAGGGAAATACCATCAACAATGAATATTAAATTGCGTTACTGGAGTTTTTGAAGGCCAAAATTGCAAAGAAAAAAAAAGTTCGCTATTGATGGCTGCCAAACAAATACTAAACAACGCAGGGCCTTCAAACTTGAAACATATGCTTTAAAGATTGTGTAGGTACTTTCTAATCATTATTTTTCAAACAACTATCGCCGGATTCAATTGGCATTAGAGCAAAAATAACAAGGTAGCCAAGTAGCTCATTGTTTGTTTAAATTATTCACTGAACGGTGACCTTAAACGAAATGTGCCCGGACTACCAGTAACCAGTAAAAAAGTACCTTAGATATCCTGTGAGAGCCAACACGGTCTCGCATTTCCTCAGGCTGGCTAGGCTGGAAGCAGGTTTCACCACAGGTACAGTCTCGCCTGCGTTCGCCTGTCTTCTTTTGCCCACCAATGGCGACTGGGGATTTTCAAGGCCGCTGTTGCGCCTCCTGCCGTTCAACAACGACTTGATGCCGGGCATCGCGAAAAGGGGTTCAGCTCTGGAACGGGACGGGCGGCGAGCGGGAACGGATCCGCTCGGCGGGGCATGGGGGGAAGCGGTCGAGGTGGTCACTATTCGACGACCTCGCGGCTCTATCAGAGCTGTCTGGTCGGCCACTTTTCCTGGAACATAAAGAAATAGTAGTGTCACAGATTTAATTACATAGATCATATAGATACTGTATAAGATATAAACCTGGGAAAATTATTTGGTAATGACTAGAAATAGTTTGTTTGAAGGTGATTGACAATGTTTCATGATGAATTTCACTAGTTCGGACTTCCATTGTCTACTATATAAAATGATTTGAAATCCCTGAAACAACTAAGAAAGAATAATTAAAAATGAATAGCTGAAAATAACAATTATATTAAGCAAAAATAAACCTGAAATGAAATGATAGTGAAATAACCTACAAGTAAAAATATAACAATTGAATAAATAAAAATAAAGGAATGAAAAAAAGAAAATAATAAAAAATAAAAA